GCACGCTGAACTGATGCTTATGCCTGAACACCCGGCACTGGGCACAGCTACCAGCCGTCACGGAGAATGTGCACAAACAGGATGTTTCAGACACTACCTGGTCAGTGTGCATCATTTCCCACTTGCGTGCCATCGTGCAGTCTGTGAAAGGCTCACGCTGGTATTGCAGATTAAGCACACAAGGACTGGACTCCCGCCTCACTCAACCTGTTTTCGTCCTCCAAAGTAACCTGGGAAATTTCTAGTATGACCCTTTCCCTTTGGCTCCCCCTGGGTAAAGGAACCATCTTGATTTTCAAAGTTTAGTCACTGAGTGTGTTTCTTTGCCTGAATACGTTGCCAGTTGGACACATTTTGGACTTTTTCCACCACCACCCGAAAATCTTACAAGTGGAAGGGTCGTAGCTGCCTTCTACTCAGAGCTTCAGATTTAACCATTCTCTGCCGTTCACATCCATCTGCCAGTAACATACAGCATATGACAGCTATCGTATCACCAAACACAGATGCTATTCGATACTTTAGAGTGGCAAGGGTATGGGATAGAAAAACGCACAGCGGGAAGCAAATTCTTTTACAGCCAGCCAAGGGGTAATGCAATTAAATGTTCACAGCTGCAAACAGCACTAAAAGGTGGTGTGTGTGTGTGTGGGGGAGAAATCAAAGGAAGGCACCCTGAAGATTATGGGATGGAAAGGACGTGATGCAAGAAAAAAGCTATTTTTAGGACGGCTTCTGCCTGGTGCGGATGCAGAGGCTGAGAAAACGTGACTTCATGCAGATGAGGCACTGTATAATTAATAGGGCTCTGATGCCACAGGAGCGCAGAGAAAGCACAGCAGTTGGATCCTGGGCACGCAGCTCAGGGGCTTTCCAAAACCCAAAGTTTCATTAAAATAAAAAAAAGCAAGTTTCTAGTCCTTATGATGTGAGGATGCATGGAAGTTTATGGTCAGCGCCTATTTAAGTTAAGCTTTCATGACCCGAATAACTCCTTACTCCCCCCTTCCCTCCTGCCAACCTAGCAGTTCGAAAGCAAGACATTGCAAGTAGATAAATAGGTACCACTTCGGTGGGAAGGGAACAGCGTTCCGTGCACCTCGGTGTTTAGTCATGCCGGCCACATGACCACGGAAACATCTTCGGACAGCGCTGGCTCTTCGGCTTGGAAACGGAGAGGAGCACCGCAACCCTAGAGTCAGACTCGCCTGGCTTTCCAGCAAGGAAACCTTCACCTTCACCCCCCTTCCCATTCCTCATTAGCCAAACACGATTAGCCAGTCAACAAAAAGCACAACTCCACACAAAATTTTGTAAATTTGCACACATCATAGAACTTGCAGGACTCGGCTTGTCTCGGTAGAGAATCAGGATGCGCTTTTAAAAGAAAAACACAGACCCAGCAAGGCTCATAATTCACACCTCTGCTTTACAGTTAATTGCCAGGCTTGGTTCAGGAACCTGCTGACTGCTATTTTTGTACAAGGGAATGGATTGGGGCACAGCAGCAGCCCCCCCCCCAAACGTGGGCAGAAGGACCAGCCTTTGATAGTACTTTTATCGACTGGTGATACTGTAAACCCGGAATCACTGGCTGACAAGCAGTGCATCTGACAGCGAAAACCTGTTTTTAAAAAACAGTGGAATAATAAATTATTCAAATGCTCACAGAATTAACTCACGGCAATAAAAAAGAGTAAGCTGGATCTTGTGGATCCGTTCTGCTACAGGCTGCAAGTCTGAATTGGTAGGCAGCTGCTGACACCGAATGGAAAAACCCGTTCGTCACTCATCTGTGTGGAATCCAACCCAGAGAAGCTTTTTAAAAAATCTGCCCAGCAGCATAGAAATGCCAAAAGCTACATGCAGCACCCGTGATTTCTTAAAGAGCTCTACAACACCTTTTCGCCATCCACGCATCCATTTAGCACGTTTTCCCAACCGACGTTTGTACTCTACGCAAAAAGAACTGAAGGGTACAAATCAGACAGCCGAAAAAGCAACATTACAAAGGGGGGGAAATGAAAGAAAACCAGCCACAGGACATTTCAGTCTCTCCCGACATTCTCATTGTTGACTTTACAGCTGCTACTACTCAAGCCAGTGCCCCGTAGGTATGCTTGTGACTAGACCTCACGTGACAGGTTATTCTTCTCTTAAAAGCTTAGCAGGATATTGGAAGTTTCAAGCCCTTTAAAAAGAGTTCAGTCTCCGGCAGTAGTAGATGCGGAGCACGCAATTCAAGTGTTTTTGGCCTCTTTTAAAAAAAGGGTCCTGTGATACTAATCAGGAAGATTTATCAAGCAATGGAGAAAAGGAGACATTTAAAAAGTACATGTCTGTCAGAGCGGCATAGCAAAGCTCAAACACTCAAAGCGAGCGTTCAGACGGACGCCTGGGAGTGGTTTAAACTGCTCCGGTTCGAGGCACTTTTTTTTAAGCTGGAAGAAATGCGATCACACTTACCTCCTTGTCCGGGATCGCTGCGCAGCCACGCCGTTCGCACATCTTTGAAGAAGCCGAAACGAAGCTCTTACCCGGGAACTTTGTTAGAACTTTATTGTTCACAGAACGTCATTGTTTATTTGCTTCAACTTGTTCCAATTGTATTTCATGCTGCATTCTATCGTATTGTACACCTTTGCCTATATATTTAGACAACTGTCATTTTTAGCGTCTAATTATTCACAACTCTTGTCACCATCCATCACCATTCTGCATCTCGGTATGCTCAACAAGGCAGCAGTGGGTTAAGTCAATTATGTTTGCATTACTGAAACTACCTGACTGTATGGCTCTGAAATATTATTGTAGGCAGATGTGCTGATGACTCCATGTATGTGTCAATCTGGCCTGATCTAGGATTGTAACAAATAAAGACTGATTGATTGACTGAGGGGAAAAACTACCATAAGATACCGCCTGGGTTTCCAGGGCTCGAAGCGGAGGTCTTTCACTGCACTTACTACCCAATCCTTTCAGTGGAGATGTCAGGGATTGAACCTGAGACCGTCTGCATGCAAACTATTAAGAGCAAGGCCAGTTCCCAAGCTGTTTACCCCCCTGCCGGAGACTATGTACAACTGCCTATATTTATTTCTCCAGCTGGGGAGAAAGCAGGTCATGGACAGTGTTCCCTCTAAGCTGAGTTAGTGTGAGCTAGCTCACAGTTCTTTAGCCTCCAGCGCACACATTTTTGTCTTTGCTCGGGAAGGATGACTCCAGTGCAAACTAATGTATGCAGTAGCCAAATCACCTGCTCACAACTTTAATGCCAGTAGCTCACAAAGTAGAATTTTTGCTCACAGGACTCCACAGCTTAGAAGGGAACATTGCTGGCGGAGCAGGAGACATTGGAGAAGAATAGCAAGTGCACAGAGAGAGAGAGAGAGTGTGTGTTCCCTCTAAGCTGAGTTAGTGTGAGCTAGCTCACAGTTTTTTAGCCTCCAGCTCACACATTTTTGTCTCCGCTCAGGAAGGGATGGCTCTAGAGCAAACTAATTTATGCAGTTGCCAAATCACTCGCTCACAACTTTAATGCCAGTAGCTCACAAAGTAGAATTTTTTGCTCACAAGACTCCACTGCTTAGAGGGAGCATTGGTCATGGACAACTTTTTTTCCCCAGCCAGAAAGCAGCAGGGAGAGAATTCTCCTTTTGAGATAAAGTAGGTTGTATTTGTGAAATCAATACTGAAGAAATCCTAAGATGAAGCTGAGCTCGAAGTGGCATGCCCTTAAACACGGCCACTTCCACGCTTGTCTGAGGCCACCCTGCTGTCAGAGAAGGACCGAAGCTGCCCCACAATGACCCCACATCGATGTTTCTGGAAAAAGCATCTCAACGGAAGCATCCTGTCGGCAAAGTCCTGATGTCCTAGTTCATTTGTCTTTTTTCCCGTCCGTGGCCCAAACAGCTGTAAGAAAGAAAGAGGGATGGCGGATGAAGCTGACGAGATCCAAAGCAAATTGGCAGAAGCGAGATCTGAAAGCATCCAGGTGGCAAGAGCTTCTGCTGGACAGGTAAGGCAATCTTATTTTGGAACGTCCGGGTTGCTCAAGAGCTTTGCAGTTCAGCCCGGAATAAAATTAAATGACGTATGTAGACAATACATAAGGAAAAGAAGTGTTTCTCCCCCCCACCCTTAAGTACAGAACCCATAAAGAGAGAACCCCGAAAGCTAAGCTGTTCATGCATTTTAGTTATAAAACAGCCAATAAATAAATCCATCACATGCACAGTTAGAACGCCAACGCAAGCCGAATCTCAATACTTCCTGAGAAAGTCACAACGCAAGACGGTGCAGTCATCTTGACGACACCCCAAGGAGACGTTGAGGCTAAGAGACTGAGATGCAAACGAGGAAGTGACTGGTGCGAATGTCACCTTGGTTGCAAAGTCATGAGGTGGCCTGCTGCACGTCAGACCCATTCCAAGCTGCCTTTGTATTCCATTTGAGTAACTGGTCGCGAACGCCTTTTCTTCTGCCATTTCAGACAGACCCGTTTTAGTAACCAGCTGCTAGTGGGATTTTTTTACCGGTTCATACAAATGTTATAGATTTATTTATTTTATACCCCACCCTATCCCGTGAGTGGAATGTTTGCGTCGGGTGAGCAAAGCACGCTTTTGAGGGAAACTGCTTTCTTCTGTTTTCTGCACACAAGTAGCTTATTTAGAAAATGTTAACTTTTATATATAGGGAAGGAAGCGTCTAGTCCTCATGGATACAGATTTTCAAAAATGCTGCACTGAAGTTTCCAAAGGATCAGAAGTGTATGTGGGGAAGTGACACAAATCCGTCGTATTTAACTTGCTTGGTTTCGAAACACAGCAAGCAGCAGCGTTTGCACATTTCGAACGTAATTAATGCAGAACAGGAACCGTAAGAAGAAAAAGAGACACTGACTTGGCATCAGCCGCGCTCATGAAAAGCTGTATGGAAAGTCGTGTTCGTCGCACGTGCTTTAAGACATGCGGGTCAGCCACAATCTTTGACCCCACAACGCATTTTGGATGCCAGTCTGGGTTAGGAAGAAACTCTCCCAGATGGTGCAGCCGATAGATCCCACTTCCCCGGCCACGGGGCCAGAAGGTAGCTATTAGCCTCCATACTCCCACCCATTTTGCCACAGACCTATGCAGAACTGTTTTGGCTGTGGACTCAGAGCGTTCCCTTGGAAGACAAAGCAAAGATCCTGATGTTTATCCCTCGCAGCCGCCATGCACAGCGCAGGTACCGAGACGTCCCCACTGCAAGACACCCCGAGGAATGCAATGCGACACAAACTCTCACCCCACCGCGGGGCCCTCGCTTAGCTCCCTAATCCCCCACAGAGCGGGAAAGGAACGTCACCTAGAGTTTAGAAGAGTGTGAGGCAATACCCAACAGAGAGGGGAAGTCGTTCGGGGTGGTCAGCCAGCTGCCCCCGTCCACCACCAGGGTCGTGCCGGTCACGTAGGAGGCCAAAGGGCTCGCCAGGTACAGCACGCTGTGGGCGATCTCCGTCTTGTTGCCCATGCGCAGGAGGGGGATGGTTTGGTAGACACCACTCGACTCGGCGTGACGCCCGCCTGCGGGGGAGTGAAGGGGAAGGCAGGGATCAGAAGAAGGAGTGGCCGAGGAAGACCGTCACAGCTCATTCTTATTTATTTATTTATTTGGATTTATATCCCGCCCTCCCCGAAGGCCCAGGGCGGCTAACAGAGGCATAATGCCAGATAATAACAATAAAAACAGTATAAATTACTAAAAATACAGAATAGACAATTAAATAAGATTCATAAAAATCATTTCGGTGCTCCCCTACTCACTTTCAAATGTTAAAAACGAAGATGGTGTTCTCAATAGTATAGCTACACAACAACAGCAGTGCACATCGCCACTGCCCCGTCGTTCCCTAGAAACGTCCCGCTCCCTCCGATGGTACCCGCACCAGCGGTGGCAATGTGCGGAAATTATAGGGCGTTGATGGAACAGTGGCGGCGGCGGCTCCTATTTGAAAGCCTGGCGGAAGAGCTCCATCTTACAGGCCCTGCGGAACTGTACAAGGTCCCGCAGAGCCCGGATCTCCTCTGGGAGCTCATTCCACCAGATAGGAGCCGCCACCGAAAACGCCCCAGCCCTGGTCATCGCAAATTTGATGGTCTTGGGGCCTGGAACATCCAGGAGATTTTGATTCCCCGACCGTAGTGCCCTTGGGGGAACATGTGGGGAAAGGCGGTCCCTTAGGTAGGCCGGTCCCTGTTCTTCTCAGAGAAGAACAGCAGCCACTCACAAAACCCAACAGAAAGCAGACACCTTTTCACTCCCTGGAGATCTCGGTTGTGCAGAAGGGCCCTGGCTTGGGGGATACAAAGCAAACACCCTTTCTCAACAGATTTGAGTCTTCACCTTCATAAAATCCAAGTGTTGCCTAGAAAAGGCTTCTAGTCCTCAGGGTGCAGAGACTCCCAAATCCAGCCTGTCCTTCTGCGTCCTCTTCTCTTTTGCATGCCTTTGCACTTTATTTATTTATACCCCAGTCTTCTCCCCAGTCGGGACTCAAAGTGGTTATAATGTGATTCTTTCCTCCTCCCTGTGAGGCAGGCCAGGCTGAGAGCCGGTCGTGGGCCCAAGGTCACCCAGCAAACTTCCATGGCGGAAGTTTGGGATTCGAATGCAGGTCTCCCAGTGTCCTAGTCCAACACTCTAGACACAAGCAGGACAGGTCCCCGTGTCAGTCTGTCTGTCTGTAGCAGCAGAGAAGAGCAAGAGTCCAGTAGCACCTTAAAGACTAGCAAAAAACATGGCAGGGGAAGAGCTTTCGTGAGTCACGGCTCACTTCTTCAGATACCGGAAGAAGTATCTGAAGAAGTCAGCACTGACCCACAAAAGCTCATCCTCTGCTGCATATTTTGTGAAGTCTTTAAGGTGCTACTGGACTCTTGCTCTTTTCTACCATCTATACCAGTAATGGCGAACCTTTTAGAGACAAAGTGCCCAAACTGCAACCCAAAACCCACTTATTGATCGCAAAGGGCCAACACGGCAATTGAACCTGAATACTGAGGTTTTACTTTAGAAAAAACAACTCATACATTAACTTAAGATGATCCAAACAAAGTAAGGAAAGCAATCCCAAATGCTTTCATATACTTAAAATTATTTGGCAGAGAATTCGACACTTTAATGATGGTCTGGGCCTGGCTGGGGCGATGGCACGTGTGCCCACAGAGAGGGCTCTGAGTGCCACCTCTGGCCCCCGTGCCATAGGTTCGCCACCACTGATCTATACACTACGCCATTCTGGCTTGTTCATCCAAGAACCCCCCCACCCCCCCCCACCCAGAAAGCTCAATACCTACTGCCGGTACTTGGTGCCTTACCCAAACGCCGGAAGCCCTCTGTGCCTGTAATGGGACCCGGTGCCAGGCTGTTCACTCTGATCCTGTTGGGTCCCCATTCGACAGCCAGATGCTTGGTCGTGCTCTGATGTTCCCAGTTCCAAGATGGGTTCCGGTAGGATGGATCCGGACCAACGACGTAAGTTCCAAAGCGGCAGATAGCCAGTCTTCTTCCCAGGGCCCGACTGCACCCAGATGGTATCTCTGCCAATTTTCGGCGACGGTGCATTGATGGAACAGTAGCGGCGGCGGCTCCTACTCAAAAGCCTGGCGGAAGAGCTCCGTCTTGCAGGCCCTGCGGAATTGCGCAAGATCCCACAGGGCCCGGGTCTCCTCCGGGAGCTCATTCCACCAGGTAGGAGCCGCCACCGAAAAGGCCCTGGCCCTAGTCTCGGCGAATTTGACGTCCCTGAGGCCTGGGGTAGTCAAAAGATGTTGGCCCCCCGACCGTAGTGCCCTTGGGGGAACATATGACTGGAACCCCAACAATCCCATACACCCCACCAGGAGAATCTTACTGAGGTATGCTTTTTTGTACCTGAATGTTAATTGCCACATGCAAGGAAACATTAAAACTGGCCTTCGCTTTCAAGCGTAAAGCAAACACAACCCCTATACCACCGCCATGGCCCAGCAAATTTTATACAGGCACAAAGTTTTTTTCTTTAAAGCATAGAATTTTCCTTCTTTTTTTAAAAAAAATATATTTGTGTGTGTGTGTTTTGTGCTTGCCTGGAAGTCACGGTTGACTTCTGGTGAGCCCTACTGGGGGCTTGGACATTTCTCAGAGAGGTGGCTTGATTTAGTCAGCCTCTGCATCCTGGCCCTGGTATTCCTTGGGGGTCGACCTTCCAAGGACTTGCCAGAGTCGGCCCTGCTGAGCTCCCGAGATCTGACGAGATCGGGCTTGCCTTGGGACTACCCAGTTCAGGGCAAGCACAGAATCTTTTTTGACGCTAACAGGAAAACAGCTAAGAACTCATGTAAGTATTTGGAAAAGGACAGACAGAGCTTTCCAAACTCATCTCTGGACACTCCTCCATATTACGTACTTTCTCCCCAAAACGCCAGCTTTCTGTACGTGGGAAGTTTTACTTTGGGAAAGATTTAAATGCAAGTCATCCCCTTCTTGCCTCGTGAATTGGTACAGTCCAGGGAGCACTCCACCGTGTGCTTTCCCCCCAAAAGTGCTTCAAGTTAGCTCTACGGCACCCTTACCAGAGTTAATTTTTAAAATTAAACTGAATAAAAAAGTGATGTATGGACTTTTAGTGCATACCATTTACTGTAATGAGTTTTGACAGCTGATGCTTCCGTAATGATCAATAACCAACAAAACTAAAAAAACAGAGCATGAAAAATCCTTTCCTAGTTCAGAAAGATAGAATTCTCCGGTAAATAAATGCCGTATCCACAAGAAGGCCCTGCCCCAGTTTACTGTTTAAGAGGCCAAACAGCTGCCCCGATCTCGACAGCTCTTGGAAGCTAAGCAGGGCCGACCCCAGCAAGTACTTTGTACAAGGAATACCAGGGCCGGGACGCAGAGGCAGGAAATAGCAAGCCACCTCTCTGAAACGTCCTAGCCACACTAAGGGTTGCCAGAGGTCACCATGACGTCCAGGCTCACAAGCACACACACACACACACACAATAAATAAAGGACACTTACAAAGAGAAGAAGCAACAACCAGCCCCCCCACGAGGCTGCAGAAGGCCGAAAGAGAGAGCAAGTTTTTACGAGCATTCACCATACCTACAGCAGCCTTAGCCGTCCCAGCATGCACCTGGAGAGCCTGGCCTCTGTAGCTGAGCGTCGCCGTGATATTCACGATGACTCCACCGTGGTCCTAGAACGATTGAGGAAAAAAAGAGAGAGTCGATTTGAGCAACAAATCCGGAGGAATTAACAACAACTCAGGAGGAGTCCAGAAGCGAAGCCACACTCCCGTGTCCCAGAAGACCACACAATCCGTAGGTTTGCTTGCTGAACGGCCTGTGAAAGAGCGGGAACCTTCCAGGAGCGGCTGCCCCAAAAACGCACAAGCTGAGGGATGGGTGAATCCCGTTACACGTGGGCCGAGGATGTGGGTGATGATTCAGCCACCTGCCCGGATGGGAGACCACCTAGGGAAAGGGTGGCCAAACTGCAGCTCGGAAGCTGCCTGCGGCTCTTTCACACATATTGTGTGGCTCCTGGCAGGGCGGCTGGGGAAGCATGCCTCTCCAATCGGTCTTCCCTTCCCAAGCCAGTGTTTCCCTCCCGGGGTAGGCATGAGGTGGGGGTAAGCCTAGACCCTGGGTTACTTTACCAGAAAGAGGAACAGAGAGAAGGTTTGGAAATCCTTAAATTCCTGGTGGCAGCCCAATCTACCCAGTTTTCAAAAGCAAAGAGCACATTTAAAGGGGAAACCAGCCCCCCTAAAAAGAGAGGACGCCACAGATACCGATGGGGAACACTCAACCACAAGCCCACATGTTCCATGGCCCTATTTTTCCACAGGACATCTAAAGCGCATTTTAATAAAGTGAATACGGCTATAGTTGGCGTCTGCAGAATCAACAGCAGTCTTTTTTGTTTATCTTCTGCTGTCTTTATTGTCGGGGGCCTCTGATTTTTGCAATCTGGCCTTCTGACATTGCTGACTGTAGTCTAGCCGGAGCTTGTCAGAGCTCAGAAGCCAAGCAGGGTCAGCCACGGTCAGTACTGGGATGGAAGACCACCAAGGAAGGCCACAGTTGCCCTGGCCTGGATAGCCCGGGCAAGCCCGATCTCATTGGATCTCGGAAGCTGAGCAGGGCCGACCCTGGGAAGTGCTTGGAAGGGAGACCTCCAAGGAATACCAGGGCTGAGATGCAGGGGCAGGCAATATCAAGCCACCTCTCTGAAATGTCCAAGCCCCACGAGGGCTCACCAGAAGTCAACCATGACTTCCAGGCACACACACACCCATAAAATCACACACACACACACACAAAAGGAAGGTTAGAGTCGCTACGCAAAGCCAGGCGATGGCAAGCCACCTCTGAACGTCTCTAGCCCTGAAAACCCCTTGAGGGGACACCATAAGTCAGTTGAGAGTTGACACAGCACATCATTATTTATATCCACATAAAAGTTTCACTGCATCGGTCCCCAGTGTCTCCATTCCAGCTTTACTGTCTGCGTCTTCCATGCAATGCGTTCTCATTTTGTGGACAATAGGTATTCTGCCGGTCTAACCGCACCATTTTTCATTGTCACCCCCCCCCCTCGAGTCTTGTCTAGAAAGGTGGACTAAAAAGGGAGGAAAAGAAAGAAATCAGTCGGTTCAAGGGCTTGGGAAAGGGAAGGACTACTTACCCGGAGGCACTTATCGTACAAGACTTTAGAGACGTTGAACGTGCCCAAAGTGTCTATGTCAATGACCGTTTTGTAGGCGTTGAAGGACAGGGAGTTAGCCGGGCAGAGGAAGTTACCTGCAGCGTCTGGGGAAGGAAACCAGAGACGGAGTCAGGGGCAGTCAGGGCCACCAGACCAGCTTCCCTTTGCATGAGCAACAGCTTATCCGCCCTATCATATGAGCGAGAAAGCATGGGGCATGGTGGCAGGACCCCCACTTTGCACGCAGGTCCCCAGTTCCAAATCCTTGCTATCTCCCCTTAAATATTATCTGGGAAAAACCCCTCTTGGCTGAAGACCCCTAAAGAGCTACCACCAATCGTTGGAGACACTGACAAACTAGGAGAACCAACTCAGTATATGAACAGCATCACACATAGCCCTCCTTGCATCACACATAGTCCTCCTTGCACTCGCAGGGACCCTGTTTCCCAAGCACACATTGGTATCCATTTTATTCTGGGCTTGCCAGTAGCCGGTCAGGGCCCCAAACAACATCCTCCGCCCTCGACACAACTCACTGTTAACAAGGATATCAATCCTCGAAAACTCTTTTAGGGCTTCATCCACGGCTGCCACGATCATCTGGGGCTGCCGGACATCGAGAACGAGGGGTAAGCATCGCTGGCCAGTGGCTGCTGACAGTTTTTGGGAAGCCTGTAAAAGGAAAGAAGGGTTTGGCATGAAATGCTAACACACACCCCTCTCATCCTGGCATCTTGTGAGTAGGTTAGGCAGAGAGAAACAGAGACACACAGACAGGGCCTTTTGAAACCGCCTTTGTAGCCAGTTTTAGTGGCTGTTTGCAAATGGATTCTTACTGTCATTTCAGACAGACCCATTTTAGTAACTGGTTGCTAGCGGGATTTATTTGCCTATTCGTACAAACCCGCTTGTGTTGGGTTAGCCAAGTGTGGTTGAGCCGCTTTTGAGGGAAACGGCTTTTTTCTGTTTTCAACCCCTTTGTTGCGCTTCTGAATTGCTGTGGTGTGCTGTTTAAAACGGTCATAGCACTTCCTACAATGCCACTCCCCCCCGCCCTTTTTCTCCATGCGATCTTCCTCAGACTTTTTTTAACAGTCTAAGGTGAGCACTATAGCGCTAAACCGCTATAGCACTATTGAGATGCACTGACTCCATGGAGTCAATGCATCTCAATGGTGCCACTATAGCACTTCAGTGCTATATTGGTTTAGCGCTATAAGTGCTCAAATTTTAAAAAGTCGAAGGATGATTGTATGGCATAAAGGGGGCGAAGAAAAAGAAGCAGCACTGTATGAAATTACCTTAGCGCTTCAGAGATGGCTCATTAACAGAAGGATATTCGTCCTTTTTCCCACCCCTTTTATTGCCACGCAATCTTTCTCAGACTTTGTTTGGAATGTTCTAAGTTGAGTGCTATAGCGCTAGACCAATACGGCACTGAATGGAGACTCAATGGTGTCAAGACATCTCAATGGCGCCACTATATCAGTGCTATATTGGTTTAGTGCTATGGCTTGTTGCATGTGCCCGCCCCCTGGGCTCTTTACTGCCGGAGCTCCGCTCCTGTGCGCTCCTGCAGAAAATGACCCCTGACTTTACTCGAAATTGGGCCAACAACGAATAACACCTGGTTTAGAACGGTAATGTGAACAGGGCCACAATGACTGTGATTGGCCCAAGGTCACCCAGTGAGTTTCCATGGCAGAGTGGGGATTCGAACCTGGGTCTCCCAGATCCTAGCCAGGCAGTCTAACCACGACACCAGGCTGGCTGTCATCTTCTTGAGCGGGACAACTTCCTCCTGCACAAATCCGCTGCCTTCCACTCTGGTGGGGATCTCAGGAAGGCTGCCTCCACCAAAACTTTGATTTGTTTCCAAAAGGCAGTGCCGTCTGGCCGTCAGCAAAACAGGTTATATCAGATTTCCAAGCTGTGGCATGAAGTTCTTCATGGGCTGTTAGGAGAGCCGTCAAACTGGTACAGTTTGACGAGTTCCAATAGCACAAAGCTATCAAAATGCAGACGTCGATCTTAACAGGAATTACTCAAAATATTCAGCCCATCGTTCATCGGCTGCTGTGCATCGTTTGGCACTTATCCAACACTGCTGTATTGTTCACCAATCTCTTTTTTTAAAAATCTTACTGCAATGTCTCACGCACTCACCTCTGTCAGTTTCTGCAGGTTCCTGCTTGCAATGATTGTCTGGCAGCCATGCCTGCAAAGGAAAGCCGCACAAAATGAGGAACCCACGGGACCCACATCACACACACAGAAACCTTCCACCCAAAGGGGAAATCCATTTGCTACTGAAGCTACAGAAGCTGTCTTTGTCACACATCTAGGATCTGCCACTTGGAAAAGAAGAAAATTGCTCAAGTAACACAATTATCCAAAAACAGCAATTGCTCAGTACCAGAAAAATTAAGCAAATTTTTCTTCTAGCATATGTGTTTCTGGACTAGAACTCGCTTCATCATATGCTGACCAAGCAGCCCCTACTCCACCAAAGCATACACTAGAAGAAAGATAGTATTCATTCTTTAAGCTACCATGAGACTCCAGTTCATTTTCCCTGCCACGGACAGACTAACACAGGTACCTCTCTGGA